TGTCTTATATATAGTGACAGATAGTCCCACTCGGAGGACAAGCTGTACCAGCCCAGACTGTCTGGTAGCAACATACTATACCAGCCCGCACTGTCTTGTATATAGTGACAGATAGTCCCACTTGGAGGACAGGCTGTTTAATATTATATTGGTGTATATATAATTGTTTTATTGTTCATCGTTACTTTGGATCGGCAAATAGCTAGTGTATATATTTTGGTTCATTGTGCATAAGATAGATAGTTATAGCTTTTAGTATTGCCGTATTGTTTGGACAACTTGGATCCAAGTATTTACTGGAACGGACGTTTTAGATATAAACGCCTGGTTACACGTTACATATTTGGTGGCTAGCGGTTGGGATTCAAATTGTCTATCAAATACTATTTGATTGATTGATCGTCATTAAATTTATTGTCAGTTGACATCAGTGTTTATTTTAAGGATTAAAGCGGATCAACCGTGAGGCATAGTTGTAGTTCACGGCTGAGTTGTAACACGAGTGTATTATTTAATAAAAGATTATAACACTATAATTGTTTTATTTGAATTACAATATACAGTAATAAATATGTCCAATATTGACGATCAGATTGCTGAAATAAGTAGACAAATACAGTCTCTTAGTGAAAGCACAATGCAACATGGACTTGGCTTTATATCTTCTACACCTAAAGATCAGGGTATACGTACAAAGGTTATTGCAAATAAAGATCATGATTCAGGCGTAGTGACGACAGGGCCGTCTCTATCAACACATAGTGGATTGGCCGTGGGTGATACACTGCCTTTGCCAGATAGGGATATCATAACAAATCCTCACTTGAATAATAGAAAATCCATTGGGCAAGACAAAAATCAAAATATTAATCCTAAGCAGGAATTAACCAAAAATCAAAGTACTGCTCATACTGTTTGCTCTGGTTCAAACGATGTTAAAATCAAACCATCAAAATATGATGGCAATACTCCTTGGATGGATTACTTATCACACTTTGAGATGTGTGCCCTAGTCAATATGTGGTCTGAACACCAGAAAGGTTTGTACTTGGCCGTGTCACTGATTGGACAGGCCCAAGCAGTCCTTGGCGATTTACCAAAGGAAAAGAGAAAAATATTTTCAGACCTAGTAAATGCACTGGAAGAACGCTTTGCTCCATCTAGTCAAACTGAACTATATCGTGTTCAATTCAAGGAATGTCGACAAAAAGCAAGCGAGACGTTGCCGGGGTTAGGTCAGTCAGTTCGAAGACTTTCTAATCTGGCCTACCCGACTGCCCCGTTAGAATTAAGGGACACGCTCGCCAAAGAACAATTTATAGATGCGTTAGAAGACTCAGAAATGAGACTCAGAATTAAACAGTCTCGTCCAAAAGGTCTTAACGATGCTATACGGTTGGCAGTTGAGCTTGAAGCTTACAACAAGGCTGGGAGTAGAACAATGAAAAATATGAGTCACTTACGACAGACTACGAGTGACGAACGGACAGAATCACCTTATAGTCCTGATACGGCTGTATCTATGGGACAAATGACGACGTGGATGCAGACGATTGAAAATAATTTACTGTCCTTAACAAAAGAGATTAAAGCATTTAAGTCCAAAAGAAAGTTCCAACTAAGGTGGAAGACCAATAACACTCAAAGCAACAGAAAAAGGGGTGGTCCTTGTTTCAGTTGTGGACAAATAGGACATTTTGCAAGAAATTGTCCCAATTTTAATCAGAAACAAAGTACGGAGGGAACACATAAGAACAATTTTAAAACGGACGGTACGGTTAATACACTGAAGTCTGAAGTTAAATCTTCAAACAATGACAAAGGCGCTGTTGTTGTTTCAGCATCAGAAGATGCAGGAATGTTTGTTGAGTTGAGCATTCAAGATGTACCGGTCAAGTTTGTGGTTGATACTGGAGCTACGCTTACTCTAGTTTCTACAAGAGTGTTTGATTTAATTCCTGACTTGTGTAGGCCACATCTGAGTAAAACTAGGTCACAGATTAAGTCCGTCTGTGACAAATATCTAAGCCTTCGAGGTAAAGGTAGTTTTAAAATGGATTTTGGTAAAGAGAAGTTTACTTCAGAGGCCGTTGTAACTGACCTACAAGTAGATGGTATTCTAGGTTTAGACTTTATGAAGAAAAATAAGTGTTTGATTGACGTGTCCGCTAACTTATTACACATCGATAACTTTAGGGTTCCTCTAAATTTTCAAGGTACCCAACGTAGAAATGCTGACGCATTAAGTAGTGCTCCAGGCAAACCACGTCGATTAACATCAGACAGTCAGTCAAACATGAGCAGTGATTGTTCTAAGAGGGAACATAGCCATGTCAAAATCGTAACTAGTCAGCTGCCTGACAATGGTAAAGACTTGACTTTAAATGAGTTACAATCGAATGACTCGGACCTTAAACTTGTTAAGCGGTGGATGACAGAGGGTCATAGGCCACAATACAATGAGGTATCCGGTAAGGGATTCTTTATAAGGTCATTATGGAGTCAGTTTGGTTGTTTAGAGGTCCACGGTGATGTAGTAGTTAGACGCCACGACGATCGGGAACGGAACATTGTGAAATTACAAGCGGTAATTCCAATGTCGGAACGCAAGCAAGTATTAGAATACTGCCATGACACAGAGTATGCTGGTCACTTAGGTACGCATAAGACTCTTGATAAAATACGCCAGTCTTTCTATTGGCCTGGTTTGCAATCTGAAGTGAGAGCATATGTCACTAGTTGCACTAGGTGCAACAGGAAAAAAACGCCCAATGAAAAGGAAGCGTGCCTCAATAAGATTAGAGGAGGACAATGGTCGTCACGAGAGTAAGAGACCAGCCTGGATGGCTGATTATGTAAATAAGTAAAATTCAGATTGTGTATAAATGTTGTTGAATTAAATTTTGTAATTTTAAATGTATCATGCGGGACGCATGTAGATTGAGGCGTGGGTTATGTAATGTTTTTTTTTGGTGGTTATGGTTACACATCAGGAGAATCTTGTATCAATGCATGTTTCACTCTGAAGGAAGCGTTGTGTGGATTTAGACGTTTGGCGGGAAAATTAGTGGCCGGGTCGAAAGTTATAGGGGTGACCGTAAGGGACTCTCTATGCTTCGTAAGGGTAATATATAGAGAACATCCCTATCAAGGAAATAGTGGTATCGACCACGAGTATATAAGAGAATGAGAAACGGCATTTGAGGCTGTCGGTTGGCTGTCGATATTCTTATTAAGAAGACCAGTGTACAAGAGTAAGCACGTTACATAGCTGTAAGTGATATAGTCGAGGACAACTTGTACTGGGGACAACTTGTACTGGGTACAAGTTGGTCTAACATAGGAAGTTGGCAGAGCAGACTGTCCCATACGGAGGACGAACTGCAACAACCCGCACTGTCTTATATATAGTGACAGATAGTCCCACTCGGAGGACAAGCTGTACCAGCCCAGACTGTCTGGTAGCAACATACTATACCAGCCCGCACTGTCTTGTATATAGTGACAGATAGTCCCACTTGGAGGACAGGCTGTTTAATATTATATTGGTGTATATATAATTGTTTTATTGTTCATCGTTACTTTGGATCGGCAAATAGCTAGTGTATATATTTTGGTTCATTGTGCATAAGATAGATAGTTATAGCTTTTAGTATTGCCGTATTGTTTGGACAACTTGGATCCAAGTATTTACTGGAACGGACGTTTTAGATATAAACGCCTGGTTACACGTTACAATATGTTAGAATAAAGACTTAGACAATGTTATTAAATGGTGTAAAGAAAATGATATGATGATAAACAACAAAAAATCAAAATGTATGCTTGTAGAATCAGACAGAAAACTAGAAAGCTGCAATGAATGTTTATGTGTTTTATCACAAGATAATATCGCTTTAGATAATGTTGAAGTTGAAAAACTTCTTGGAATCCATATTGATAAAAATCTTTCATGATCAAATCAAATTGATAAAATATGTGAAATTATTTCAAGCATAATATACCTGTTAAAAAGGTCGAAACGTTATTTACCATTAAAGGGTCTTATTTTTTTGTACAATAGCTATATATTACCCATTATTGACTACTGTTGTACAGTATGGGTCTTACCTCAAACTGTAATCTGGAAAGGATTCATAAGCTCCATAAAATGATGCAAGATTAGTTTCATCTGTTTCTTTTGATTTTCCATCAATTTTAATGTTTAAAAAGCTTGAATGGACGACTATATTTACGAGGATACAATATTTTCAAGCTGTCTTAATGTTTAAATGTATGAATGGTCTAACACCTGATTATCTATCTAATAAATTTACTGCTTGTACTCAGTGATCTTTATAATTATTTGCTCAGGTCGACAACACCAGGACTTCTTCATGTACCAAGACCTTAATTATTCTGACTTTTTTAAAAGAAAATCTAAACATGTATTCTGGTCTTATTGCCTGGAATAATTTGCCAAATAATATTAAATAAATAAATAATTAAGATACATTTAAAATTCAAATTTCAAACTATTTTATACTGTGCAGAATGAAGATACCTGAATGTAACTTGTATTTTTTCTTCTTCCGAGTATTGAATGCATATATGCTTATTCAATATTTAAGCTGCATTATATAACTGTATCATATGCAGTATTTTATTTTGTTTGTATTTTTTTTCTATTTGTATTAATAGTTTTTGAAGGCCACAGGGAAGATTAACATGTCATTGTTAAATGAGTTACCTTCGTTTATTTTTAAAAATAAATAGACCGTTTGAAATTGTCATCTGAATTTTTGTGTAAACTGTGAAGTTATGTTAAATGAAAGTAAATATTTAAATTTTAAGTAGTTTTATTAAGATTAGAATATAAAAATAAAAACCACTAGTAAAATTTTAAAGATATTATGAAATGTATTTTTAAAAAGATGTCTATCCGGAATTTTCCCGATCTGTATGTACCTTTTATTGATACTGGACTGCGATTGGTTCAAATTCGGGTCATCAAAGGTCAATCCAAAATGGAAGACGAAATGGGAAGATCCCAATATTCAATGTTTACTTCATTGAAATATCCATCTGTATTGTTTACCTTATCATAAAAACGGTATTTCTCACCATATTTATGATATTTGATATCTAACCTAACCCTGACAGTATTTTACCTTAACGCCAGTTTCTTAAAACCTCATTTTAGACCAGAGTAAGGGATACAGCTTATGTCAGTTATGACGTTATGTTAATCTGGTTATCATTAAAAATCGGGCTAGTTTTCGGTAGTTCAAAGAAATGAAAATAGATATTTTTTTACTGTTAAACAAGAATGAAATGAATCTTAAAACTCAAACGTGAAAGTGGTAACCGCCGAATAACATCAAATTGATCAATTAAACTGTTATTTTAAGGGCATACGATACAGTAGAGATCCCTCGTTGATTTTTTCTTGAAATTTTGGTAGAAGGTCAATTTCGATGTGTACTTTTGAAATATGCAAAGAAAAATATACCTTCATGACTTACTTTTTGAGATAATTTGGTTCGAAATTTGCATATTTGAAGGAAAAACCCTGAAATTTCATAAATAAGGACTTTTAATGAAAGTACCAATACTTTTGAACGAAAAGTCATAATTTAACCGGGTTTTTTGTAAAATGTTCCCTTGATCCATGGCATCGGCATGTTGTAACAAGTTAACGGTTGAAATAAATAATTATATCCTAAATTCTTTTAATACAGGTGAAATAAAGAAGTTGAAAATATTTTTGCGTCTACACAGAAGTGCAGAAAAAATTCTATCGTTGATTTTTTATTAAAATTTTGGCGGAGCGTTCTTCAATCAGAACTTGATCCATTGCAAAAGAAAAAACTGGGGTCCATGTGCTTGTTTTTTCAATAAAAGCAATAAACCTTAATTTTGCCAATAAGGCACCAAACTACGTTGGAATAAGTTTTATTCGCAACAACGTCGTGAAATCTTTCCGCCGTTCACTATACTACGTTGTCAATTTCAGTGGTAGAGCCAAGGTGTTTTTTTTTAAACCAATGATATTAATCATGAAAATTAATAAAGCTGGCTCCTCGTAAAATAGCATCATATTTGCCAAACCTTTATGAATTGTTACGAATCTTGGATAGAAAAAGTATTCTAGTAAATTACTTTTAGAAAAGAAATGTTCGGAAACAAAACAGATATATATAATAAAAAAATTAATTTGCATCTCTGTCCGACATTAGTCATACAATTCATGTAGAAAATTCAAAACACAGCTTGAACATAGTTTTAATTATTCAAATGGCCCCGACATGACAAAATGTGCAACAATTATAAAGTAAGGGGGATGATATAAAAATTAGGACATTTGGTATGATTGCAAAAGAGACAACTATCAACCATAGTTCAAATGATGAAGATAAACGATATTAAAGGTCACCCGTACGGCCTTCAACACAAAAAAAAAGAAAAAGAAAAAGCCACATCGTATAGTCAGCTTTAAAAAGCCCCGACATGAAAATGTGAAATAATTCAAACAAGAAAACTAAGGCCTACTCTATAGGAATTACATGAACACAAAATCATACCCACATTTAATCGGGTCAGCTTAGTCAATTACAGTGTAAAAACATTTCATACAGCAGTCGATATTAGAGCTTGAAATTTAATGATTCTGTATCAATAGATAAGTTACCTAAGCTTGTCTTCAGGGTATTTTTTTTTTATTACGGTACATATAATCATTGAATTACTTGTCTGTATTATACCTTCAATCTAGGAGTGAGTGCAACCACATTGTTTGTCCGTTCCAACAAATATTTTGTTTCTGATCTGAGAAACTACTTTACAAAAAGACTTCGTATTTGGTCAGTAACTTAACATCAATGAGTTGCAACTCTGGTCTGTCAAATACATAATTCCTGTGTGCTGATTTTTCTCTCTCAGTATGTACATAGAGGATATGCTTAGCACATCAACGGGTCTATAATACGGGGCTTATAACTGAGTCATTTTAACTGACAATTCTTCTTCATACACTTAATACATAAATTTCTTATGTTTTTTTTTGTGTAGTTGGGTTTCTCTCTCATCGACGTCTTATGTTTTTCATATCTCTTATTCATTTCCTATATGAAATAACAGACATACAAAATTAAGAATGTGGATTTGATTGTTTTCCCATTCGAAGTTAATATTGTTGGCTTCCTTATTAATGAATAAATATAACAATTCTCGTGATTTGGCCGATTTTCATTGCAGGTACTTTTTTTCAAATTCGCGCAATCGGGATTATGACGTCAGTGGATTTCCGCAAATGTGACTACATGTAAAACGACGTCGCGAAATGTAATTGTTCTTATTAGAAACATCGCGAAGTTAAAACGTTCTGATTAACAACGTCGCGAAAACAACACGAAAAGTTTTGAAAACGTTATTATCTGCCCCTGCTACTGTTTTGTATGCCCTTAAATGCTACACACATCAAATTGATCAATGTGAGATGTGTCCAATTATTCTTCTACTGCTACAATCCATGAACTGGTTATCCTGCCTTGACTTTTCAAATGCATACGGACACCTCCCACCCCCATAATGTTTGAATTCAGCTAAGCTATTGGTAGATAGATATAATGTACAAGTGTAAATATAAAAAAGATGTGGTATGATTGCCAATGAAACAACTCTCTACCAGAGACCAAATGATGTAGAAGATAACGGCTATAGGTAACCATACAGCCTTTAACAATGAGCAAAACCCATATCACATAATTAGCAATACAAGGCATTGAAATGGCAAATGTAAAACAATTTGAAAGAGAAAACTAAAGGCCTGATTTATGTACAAAACAATAAAGGAAAAACAAATATGATATACAGCAGCAAAAGTCAATCACTAAATTACAGGCTCCTGACTTGGAACAGGCAGATACATAATGTTAAACATGTTTGCTGGTGCTAAAGATATGTCTAGATTTATTTTGATGCCAATAGTATTTTACAATTTAGAATATACAAATGAACAAGCTAAATATTCCTCATAAAATACAATAAGAAAATGTCAAAATAATAAAATTATATAACTTTCACTTATTATTTTACCATTCTCATAGTTGTTGATGAGTGCATCTTTTTAACACAGATCAAAACCAAATTAAAAAAGCATTGTTTTTTCATACCTGCCAACTTCAAAATCTCCATGGGGTATTTTAAGCACAAGAGAATCTAATGCATACATGTACCTATACATGTCATTAGTATACATGTACTTATTAGAACATCTATTTTTTGAATGAGTATACATGTTTTTAAATGTTTTTTTTTTACTTCTCTGAATGCCTTTTTATACGGCCGCAAAAAAATTTTGCGGTCATATATTGGTATGACGTTGGCGTAGTCGTCGTCCGAAGACACATTGGTTTTCGCACAATAACTTTAGTTTAAGTGAATGGATCTCTATGAAATTTTACCATAAAGTTCAATACCACAAAAGGAAGGTTGGCATTGATTTTGGGGGTTATGGTACCAACAGTTAAGGAATTAGGGGCCAAAAACAAGCATTTTTGTAACTTCCAGACAATAACTTGTGTGTTAGTGTATGGATCTCTCTGACATTGTACCACAAGGTTCCATATCACAAAGGGAATGCTGGGATTGATTTTGGGGGTAATTGCCTCAAAATTTTAAGAATTAGGGGCCAAAAAAGGGGCAAAAAACAAGCATTTTTTCTAGTTTCATGACAATAACATGTGTGTAAGTGTATGGATCTTTCTGAAATTGTACTACAAGGTTCCATATCACAAAGGGAAAGCTGGAATTGAGTTTGGGGGTAATTGCCCAAAGCGTTGAGGAATAAGGGGCCAAAAAGGGGCCAAAAATAAGCATTTTTCTAGTTTCCAGACAATAACTTGTATTCAAGTGTATGGATCTCTCTGAAATTGTACTGCAAGGTACCATACCACAAAGGGAAGGCTGGGATTGATATTGGGGGTAATTGCCTCAAAAGTTTAGGAATTAGGGGCCAAAAAGGGGCAAAAAACAAGCATTTTTCTAGTTTCAGGACAATAACTTGTGTATAATTTTATGGATCTTTATGAAATTGTACTACAAGGTTCCATATCACAAAGGGAAAGCTGGATTTGAGTTTGGGGGTAACTGCCTTAAACGTTTAGGAATTTGGGCCCAAAAAGGGGCCAAAAAACAAGCACTTTTACAGCTTCCAGACAATAACTTGTGTTCAAGTGTATGGATCTCTCTGAAATTGTACTGCAAGCTACCATACCACAAAGGGAGGCTGGAATTGAGTTTGGGGGTGATGAATCATAACGGGGTTCAAAAAATTTGGGGGGGGGGGGGGGGGGTTTTCCCTTTTTTTTTCTTTAAAATTTTCCATTTTAAGTTGATTATTTTTTATTTATATATAAAAGCAAATAATAATGATAAGGTTTGTTTTCATCAAAAATTGAAATATTGGGGTTCTTTGATATGCTGAATCTAACCGTGTATTTAGATTCTTAATTTTTGGTCCGGTTTTCAAATTGGTCTAGGGGCATCGGTGGCTGAGTGGTCTAAGTAGTCACTACTGTTATAACTAGCCAGTCAACACTGAGGTTGTGAGTTCGAACCCCGCTTGTGTGGGTGCACTCGACTCCAATCTTAATTGACTAGGATTGTCAGTTTTCCTATCGAAGGTCAGTGGTTTTCTCCGGGTACTCCGGCTTCCTTCACCAATAAAAACTGGCTGCCACGAAATAGCCCAAAAGCGGTGCTTAAAAGTGGCATTAAAACACCAAAAATCAAATCAAATCAAATTGGTCTACATTAAGGTCCAAAGGGTCCAAAATTAAACATAGTTTGATTTTAACAAAAATTAAATTCTTGGGGTTATTTGATATGCTGAATCTAACTGTGTATGTATTTAGATTATGGATATTGGACCATAATAGGTAAATTAAAAAATTTTAAGTTCTTAGACCACATTCATTCTGTGTCAGAAACCTATGCTGTGTCATATATTTAATCACAATCCAAATTCAGAACTGTATCAAGCTTAAATGTTGTGTCCATACTTGCCCCAACTGTTCAGGGTTTGACCTCTGCGGTCGTATCAAGCTGCGC